ATAAATCTCAAAACTCTTCCATTCATGAACAGACCTCATTTCTTCTAGTTTCTTTCTTTTCTTTCAATTTCAGAGCTCTTTCTCCGGTACGTTTTTGTCTCTGTTTTTTCTTTCTGTCAATAAATTATTGTTTTGTATGTTGTGAATATCTCAGACCATTGCTTTTCTCTGTTTCTGCTTCTTTATGTCGTTATCTCTTCTCCTTAACAAGAAAGCTCTGTGAATATTTGATTCTAGTTATTACAATTGCAGATCTAACGGTTTACATAAATGTTAAATACAGAGTTAACAGAGAAGTGAAAGAATGGAGTTGGAAGAACAAGGTATGATGTTGTCCTTGGCACTTTCTAACGCCTCAGTGTTAAACTGCGCCGCTTCGGCTTTTACTGCTACTGTGCTCTCTTCTTTGCTAGAGCTCTTCGCTCAGGCAAGCTCTCTCTCTACCGAACGTATAAATCTTTTTTATGTGAAATATTCTTTCTTATTAACAATCGTTTACATGTAGTTTATAAAAATGAATAAATCGTTTACAAGTATTCGCATTATACAACTTATTTGTGTTGTTGAACTATCACACAAAGGAAAATTGTACAAAACTATTCTTCACTGACTTGAAGAGATATGTATGGTGGTTGGAAAAAATTAAATTTTGCTGAAAATCTTGTGAGGTTGTATAATAATAATAGCTATTAGTTGAGGATGGTTGCTTTGATGAGAGAATATGAAAGATTATAAAAAATACTATATATAAAAAGTGTGGGCTCCAAGAAATATCAAAAAGGTGTATCCCATATATTATGCTTCTAAATATAATAACCTTTAGTTCTAGAAGAAGAAAGCCCATGCCCCAGTTGAGTACATCATGCCTATTTCACAATCACCATGTTAGCATCGACTTGTATTGTCATCAGCAATATAGATTGTTTCTGGTATTGAGTAAAGCGTATGGAAACTGCAGGTTGTTGTTTTGGAGGGTGATGTTATAGAGAATGGTTCTAAGGCTGTTGATGCAGAGGACGGTAATGGAAACAGTGAAGATGGTGATGGTGATGGTGATGATGACGGAGGGGAAGGTGAAGAAGGTGGTGCGGATGATGCAGAAGGAAAGGAGACCAAGAAAGGATCCGTTAGTGGTCC